GCTAGTGCGACTGTTAACACCACAGCTCTTTAATTACATGCTTGTGGGTTTTAGATTTAATTCAAGTGAAGGGTAATTTTATTATTAAATGTACAACATCAATATCCATGAGCATACACCTGCATAATTGAACTGACATTGATTGTAAATATTACAGTGATTGAAATATAATAATATACTAGATGTGTTTCATTTATTTCATGTTATAGCTATAGGTAACCCATCTGATGAGCATTGGTGGTTACCAGTTTAAAGTCGTATTCTTTCTTTTGAAAACAAATTGATAAAATAATCGTACATTCGTTTTCCAATCGTCTTCGTCTTAAAGGAGTCAAGTCTCTAACTCAATATCATCCACAGTCTTCGACATTGCAACCATGGGACTCATTGTTTAATTAAACCCAACATCAATGTTGTAACCGTGAAAAGATGGGCTTCTAATGTCCAATATTTAACACAAAGTTAAAGTTTTGAAATTGCCACACGAATCGCGCGCAAGAATGCTTTCAAATTTCATTTGTAATAGAGAGACTCGAAGAATGAAGTTAAATATACCCAAGAGAATACTATATGCGGGTGTAAACTTGAATAACCAGACGCCAAAGACTGGCATTCAATTTGGACTCTTCGCGTATGGGGGGTTGGATGGCCGAATGGTTAGCACGCGCACGCTGTATCATACGGTCTGTCATTGAGTCAACTGGCGGGGTTTCGATTCCCCGGTTGTACGTGACAAGGAGTTTGGTCGCCTGTCTAACCTGGTGGGTTTTCTCCGGGTCCTCCGGTTTCCTCCCACTGCTAAAAAGACCCCTATGCGCTAGCGAATTATTGAAATAAAATTGAACCATGTGTTAGTCCCGAAATGACCAAGTTTGTGTCAAGTGGACGTTAAACCCCATTTCTCTCTCTCTCTTCGCGTATTTCGCCGAACATAACTGATTAGACATTACAGTAAAAACAGAAACGATTAAATGTAAATCAGTTAATATACAAACATATTACATTATTATATGCGTTGCAACCCATTTATGTCCATATCTAGGTGTCAAGGAATGGAAAGTCAAAATTCGTGGTATTGTCAAACGCATAAACAGTATGTCTTTTTATTTTAACAGGTTGATGTCTAATTCCCTAATGGCCCAATTTAATTTAAAGGGAAATAAAGGGAGGCGGTCCATAATGGACTTAGAAATTTACAAAGTTGTCCGAGGTTTGTTTTTATCATACTCAATTTACGAACATATCCTTAAATATCTGATAATCAAACATGGTATGGGCATACACGAGTTTTTATTACTTCATCGATGAGTGTTGATCTTTTTATACGCCGACATTGAAATGTGGTCGTATATTGTCCTCGCCCCCGTCCGTTCGTCCGTCGGTCCGGCGTCCACAATTGCTTGATCACTTCAAAAAATCTTGGGGACGCTCTAGAGGCCAAAGTTAATATCCGATTGACTTTAAATTTATACACAGTGTTTAAGGTCATGAGACGAAGAAGCCTATTGATTTTCAGCGATTTCCGATAATTACTGCCAGAGTTATGGTCCTTGGTCACTTCAAAAAATCTTGTGGACGCTCTAGAGGCCAAACTTAATATCCGATTGACTTTAAATTTATACACAGTGTTTAAGGTCATGAGACGAAGAAGCCTATTGATTTTCGGCGATTTCCGATAATTACTGCCAGAGTTATGGCCCTTGATCACTTCAAAATATCTTGTGGACGCTCTAGAGGCCAAAGTTAATATCCGATTGACTTTAAATTTATACGCAGTGTTTAAGGTCATGAGACGAAAAAGCCTATTGATTTTCAGCAATTTACGATAATTACTGCCAGAGTTATGGCCCTTGATCACTTTGAAAAATCTTGTGGACGCTCTAGAGTCTAAAGTTAATATCCGATTGACTTTAAATTTATACACAGTGTTTAAGGTCATGAGACGAAGAAGTCTATTCATTTTCAGTGATAATTACTTCCAGAGTTATGGCCCTTGATCACTTCAAAAAACCTTGTGGATGCTCTAAAGGCTAAAGTTAATCTCATTGACTTTAAATTTATACACAGTGTTTGAGGTCACGAGGCGAAGAATCCTATTGATTTTCAAAGATTTCTGATAATTACTGCCAAAGTTATGGCCCTTGATCACTTTGAAAAATCTTGGGGACGCTCTAGAGGCCAAAGTTAATATCCGATTGACTCCAGATTGATACACAGAGTTTAAGATCTTGAGGCGAACAAGTATATTGATTTTCAATGAATTTTTATGACTTGAAACAGCTAAATCCATGATACAGTATTAAAAGTTTTGTATACAAAACGTTAGCATGGGGCAGAACTTTATAAAAACCTAACAAATTCTAATGGTTTTCTGAGTTGTTGCTCTAAATCAGATTTTAGTGTATTATAAATGTTTCATTACCGAAAAAAGTAAAAATATGTGACAACTGTTGTTGACTGCCTGGACGATTTAGCTACTGTGGGCGTATGTTTCGTTGCCTGGCAACCTATCTTTATGACTTGGACAGCTAAATCCATGATACAGTATTAAAAGTTTTGTATACAAAACGTTAGCATGGGGCAGAACTTTATAAAAACCAAACAAATTCTAATGGTTTTCTGAGTTGTTGCTCTTAATCAGATTTTAGTGTATTATAAATGTTTCATTACCGAAAAAAGTAAAAATATGCGACAACTCTTGACCGCCCGGACGATTTAGCTGCTGTGGGCGTATGTTTCGTTGCCTGGCAACCTATCTTTTTTGTAATTTAACACGTACAAATTTATGGAGAATATGAAAGTAATAACACAAGCGATGTCTCATATAGAATGTGTTATTGGGTCATATATAATATAATTCATATGGGGTTTAACGTCCTACTGTTCTGCTCAGACTAGGCTAATGAAGATGGGCATGCGCTATACCGCGTGCAATGAAGGAAAAATTTGCCCGGGCAGCGGCACTATGGCCTACTCTTATATCGAATTCCAACTGCCAAGAGATCTTTTACTTGCACGTCAATGTGTACACGAGGCCTCGGTTTTTCATACCATCCAAACGACTAACAGTTGTCCTTGTCAGGCCTACTGAACTTTCTCGGCAAATGTAGGGATCGAAAATGCGACCTTCAGACAAGCGAGCCAGCGTTTTACCCAATAAGCCACCTTTGGTCCATAATTCATGGGATGCAGAATTATCTGTTACAGCTTCAGGACCACCTTTTTGATCGGACTGAATTATATAATTTACAAAATTTGACAGAGTAAATATACAGTTTTTTGTATTCTTCAGATAGTGTAATGATCAGTCAGCCGAGCTGCAATGAAGCCGAGATAATAACAGCAGTTTCGGCTCATCTAAAATATGAGCCGGACAGAAGAGGGACCAATTAAGTACATGTACAGTTTAAATTTGTTTATTACATGTCATATTTTATTATAATCTTTATAAGCCATTTTAAGTTCTTTTATCATCCATTTAATTTTATTTTATTTTCTATGTGTGATGTCCACAAAATGTTAACTGCGCCATTGAGCATTGAGTGTTTTATATTGGTAATAGGCGCATTATAAATAATAAATTATTATTATTATTACAGTACCAATTGCATTAAAATTACTTTCTCATTTTTAGCAATATCATTCATTACCCATTACATTGAAAGTAAATAATTACATTTTATTACTATTTAAAGATTAGTGCTAATTTAGCATTTAATCAATCAGATTTAAAGACATGCATACCATTGGATAGTTCGCACTGATGTTTATATATATATTCATATCTTTCTCATTTTATTTATTTGTGTATATATGCTTGAAAACGACTTGTGAAATCTTGTTGAAACGTTGCAGTGAAATAAACCATAGTAATTGTTATTCCATAAAAGTGCGTTATTTGATTATGTTCTAATTACTAAATGCCATTCAAAGAATGCGCCATTAAATGTAATTGAAATGTAATTGACCATTACATGATTTTCGGAATGTAATTAATTACATTTCCATTACTCATTACTTTTGAAATCTTCCATTACTCATTACATGACCATTACTTAAAATTTAATGATCAGATTCTATTACCTTTACCCATTACTGCAAAGTTATATGACTCTAGCATTAATATTGTCTGTAATATAATCGTTTGAATTGAATGTTTTGAAACTACGTACTGTCCTATTAATTGATACTGATTTTATTCAGAAAGAAGCAATTAGATTGGTTGTGATGGGACACAATAACTTTGATTCTAATTGAGTGAGAGTGTTGAAACTTCGCGTATCGTTTCACTATGTCAAAACCGTGGCCCAAATCTGTCGGGCATTTAAGCCCCCCCCCCCTTCCCCGCACACACACCTAATTTAACTTCCATTCTGCCCGGCCGCCTATTCCCGTCTTCGTTAGTCCAGTAGGGGCAGAACTGTAGGGAGTTCGGATGGGGCTTATACTGGGTTTTATACAACCTCAAAACAACAAATTCTGACGTCGTGACAACTTTTCGCCAACCACCACACAACGTTGCAAAACAACAAATTCTGACGTCGTGACAACTTTTCGTCAACCACCACACAATGTTGTGACAATGCTGCTTGAACGTCCGTACAACGTTGTCACAACTTTTCGTCAACCACCACACAACGTTGTGACAATGTTGCTTTGACGTCCGTACAACGTTGTCACAACTTTTCGTCAACCACCACACAACGTTGTGACAATGTTGCTTTGACGTCCGTACAACGTTGTCACAACTTTTCGTCAACCACCACACAACTTTTCGTCAACCACCACACAACGTTGTGACAATGTTGCTTTGACGTCCGTACAACGTTGTCACAACGTAAGAGTTTGTTGCAAAACAACCTACAGCTGACTTATTTCAGACGTTGTGATACAACCTCTGAAAAACGTTGTCACAACGTTCTGTGCCCGCTGGGATGCATGTTTAATGTATGCCAAATAGGAAATTGGTTTCGTTAAATCTCTTCTTTGTTTTTTTTTAGTGAAGACATTGCCTGTGATATCCAGACAAGAAGCCAATTCCTTCATGCCACCCTGTCCACCATTTATCCGTAAGAGATTTTACAAATACAAATATCAAACCACGAACATTGTTGATCCTGCCAATGTAATATTACAAAACTCCATACAACAACAGACTGTTCACACAGAACTTATCTCTTAAACCAAGTTATAGACTAAAAATAATAAAACGAATGACAGACACACTTATGGGCGAATATAGATAATTACAGACAACATTATAAACACAGGCACAATGGGCGAAAATTTTAATAATGGATCGGTCGATATTCAGAATGCTGAGGAATGCTGCCGAAAATACGCGATTGTTTCCGCCGCAGAGTGGATGCAAAGACATTGATCACATTGTGTGTGTTACATTACTAATTATTAACACAGTTGTTTTGTTTACCTTCCAATCGCAACAAAGCCACTTTATATGACAGACGTGTTCCTATGAGACATGGCCGAAAGACGTGAGCTTTATAATGGCGGATCAATTCAAAAGAAACTTGTTTGTGTTTTTGGATCGCTAAATTCTACATGAAAATAGCGTTGGATTATTATAAATTTGTGTTGGATGTGGTAAGAAATGATTCCTTTCCGCGAACAAAGAAGAATCACGGTGAAAAATAGAAGGCAAGGATTCCAAAATAGCTTTAGAACCTAGGTGGGGGGGGGGGGGACCTTATTTTCATATTAGTTGTGTATAGGATCAGGCAGTAATGGATAGAGGACAGAGTCCGATAAGAATCCGTTACTAAATTAACTATAGTGATATCAGTGGTGCTGATCATAAAACTATTATTACAATGACATTTTGTATTGTGTATAATGTAGACGGAGACTTTTTTCAGGGCAGTATAGCGCCGTACCTCTGTTGGAAATGTCTCGGGATACTTCGAGTCCGCATATATGTCAATTAACTTCATCTCTTTATAAAAGACCTTCACATGTTAAACTTGCTTTGCATGTTTGGACCATTCTGTGAACTCAGACAATTTTGCGCATCTAGTAAGTATCGTTGACAGTAAGATAAATATGGGTCACCTATAAAGATTGAAGAGATTATATGTCATTCTTGTTTATTCTACGAGATGGACCAAGTTCGTTAATTAGCCTCTCTATCTTTCTGTACCAGGATCTTAATATTAAAATTTATTATGATTTGAAATATTTCAAAACAAGAAGACATTTTCTCTATATCCTATAACTTGATGATACTGTGCCCTACTTTTCTGCATTTATTCGCCAAAAATAAACTTGAAATATGAACACAAAAACAAAAACCGAACAGGAACTATATGCCGCGATGTATCGTGTGACCCAGAGTACAATATGGATGTTAGACTTTACTCAGAATTGCAGATCCACCGCTCAAATGGCTTTACATGCAACGAGTTTATGTTTTTCGTCTTGCTCGTAGACATGGCACGAAAGCACATAAGCTTATTTATGCCAATTTTAACCGAATTGTGTAAGTGACTTCATTTTGGATACTAGTAGTTTCGTGCGTTTTTATACGCCCACATTGAAATGTGGACGTATATTGCCGTCGCCCCCGCCCGTCCGTCCGTCGGTCCGTCGTCCACAATTTCTTGTGAACGCTCTAACGCCAAAAGTTATCATCCACTTGTTTTAAAATTGATATGTGTTGTTTACATTAGTGAGATGAAGAACCCTATTTAATTTCAATAATTTCCGTTTATTACGTCTAGAGTTATGGCCCATGTTTCACTTTGTTGAACCTTGTGAACGCTCTAATGCCAAAAGTTGACATACGATCTTTGTGAAATTTATATGCAATATTTAAGTTAGTGAAACGAAGAAGCCTATTGAATTTCAACAATTTCTGTTTATTACGTCAAAGGTTATGGCCCTTGTTTCACTTAATTGAACCTTGTGAACGCGCGAACTCCAAAAGTTATCATCCGATCTTTCTGAAATTTATATGCATTATTTAAATTAGTGAAACGAAGAAGCCTATTGAATTTTGGCAATTTCCGTTTATTACGTCTAGAGTTATTGCCCTTGTTTCACTTTATTGATCCCTGTGAACGCTCTAACGTCAAAAGTTATCATCTTTACTGAAACGAAGAAGCCTATTGAATTTCAGCAATTTCCGTTTATTACGTCTAGAGTTATGGCCCTTGTTTTACTTTATTGATCCTTGTGAACGCTCTAACGTCAAAAGTTATCATTTGATCTTTCTGAAAATTATATGGATTATTTAAATTAGTGAGACGAAAAAGCCTATTCAATTTCAGCAATTTCCGTTTATTACATCTAGAGTTATGGCCCTTGTTTCACTTTATTGAACCCTGTGATCGCCCCAACGTCAAAAGTTATCACCCGATCTTTCTGAAATTTATATGCATTATTAAGATTACAGAAACGAAGAAGCCTACCAAATTTCAGCAATTTCCGTGTATTACGTCTAGAGTTATGGCCCTTGTTTCACTTTACTGATCCTTGTGAACGCTCTAACGTCAAAAGTTATCATTCGATCTTTCTGAAAATTATATGCATTATTTAAATTAGTGAGACGAAGAAGCCTATTGAATTTCAGCAATTTCCGTTTATTACGTCTAGAGTTATTGCCCTTGTTTCACTTTACTTATCCTTGTGAACGCTCTAACGTCAAAAGTTATCATTCGATCTTTCTGAAAATTATATGCATTATTTAAATTAGTGAGACGAAGAAGCCTATTGAATTTCAGCAATTTCCGTTTATTACGTCTAGAGTTATGGCCCTTGTTTCACTTTACTGATCCTTGTGAACGCTCTAACGTCAAAAGTTATCATTCGATCTTTCTGAAAATTATATGCATTATTTAAATTAGTGAGACGAAGAAGCCTATTGAATTTCAGCAATTTCCGTTTATTACGTCTAGAGTTATGGCCCTTGTTTCACTTTATTGAACCTTGTGAACGCCCCAACGCCAAAAGTTATCATTCGATCTTTGTGAAATTTATATGCATTATTTAGATTAGTGAAACGGAGAAGCCTATTGAATTTCAGCAATTTCCGTTTATTACATCTAGATTTATGGCCCTTGTTTCACTTTACTGATCCTTGTGAACGCTCTAACGCAAAAAGTTATAACCAGATCTTTGTGAAATTTATATGCATGATTTAAATTGATGACAGTTATCATCCGATATGTATGAAATTTATATGCATCATTTAAATTTGTGAAACGGGCCTATTGAATTTCAGCAATTTCCGTCAATAATTTCTAGAGTTATGGCGATTGTGAACGTTAGAATGACAAAAGTGATCATGTGATCTGTATGAAATTTGTATGCATTATTTAAATTAGTAAAACGAAAAAGCCTGTCAAATTTTAACAATTTCTGTAGATTACTTCCAGAGTTGAGAACCTTGTTTCAGTTTGTAGAACCTTGTAAACCCTCAAACGACAAAATTTATAATCTGATCTGTGTGGAACTGTCTTGTAAAGGCCCCCAATTACCTACAAAGGAATAAATATATGCAACAACCCTTGACGACCGCTCGGACGATTTAGCTGCTGTGGGCGTATGTTTTGTTGCCTGGCAACCTATCTTTCATAAACTTTTTCTGAGAGACTGTTCCAGATGGCGTAATATATAAAGTCTTGGGTGACCTCATTGGTGGATTAATGGATTATTACCTGATTACCTGGGAGCAAATACTTGTGAACGAGAGGATCAGAAATGGGACAGAATCTAGAGATCTGCCTGTTTAGTGAGAGTTAGTATAAGACCGTAGCGGGTTTGAAGAATGATGGCGCGAGACAATCACCAGTCGTTCGGATGGGAGGGACAACAATAGTTTAAACAATATTTGATTCAACAGTCTAAATCGGATTGAACAACAGGTAAGGGGCTACATGGGCGTAGGGGGCCAATTCATTTGGGGCGAGGTGGGGGGCTTTTGCCCGAAAATTTTCACCCGAATTTTCTGAATGAATCACTGGTTGTTTATTTCTAATTAAGGACGCAATTATACAATTATGTTTCCATGATGTACGGACGCAATCTCCATTCTCTGATATTTATGCCCGAAACAGTGAAAAATACATTGCCCGAAAAATAGACGGTTCACCGAATCTGAGAGTAGAGGTGGGGGTGGGGTGAGGGAATAACTTCTCCCAAAACAGTATTTCTACTTATATATCTGTAAACCTTTAGTTCAGATTACATTTCAGGCTAAATTCTTAACAATTATTTGAAATGAAACAAAGCATCTATAAATATGTTATTTTCTCACTAGAATAGACACATGGCAAAACCCAAGTAATACTGTAAGGGAGTGGCAATAAATGAAGAGAAAAAGTAATCAAATAGAGTTTAACGCCTAAATTTTCTGTATCAACCGGGATAATGAAGATGTAAATACGCCATACATTATGCTATAGGGGGAATTTGGTCCAAACAGCGACGTTATGGTCTACTCTTTATTCCGAATTTCGAGTTCTTTTACGCGTACGCCAACGTGTGCATGGGACACCATTTTATATTCCATATGAATACCTAGACGCTGCCGTCATATCCCCCGCCCCTTCCTGCACCACTGACATTGGGAAACAATAGCATATTCTTTGCATAGGATGAAGGCATCGGGGTTTTCGCCAATATATAATTTTATGTCAACTTCACAATTGTTATTATAAATGTAGCATTTACTTGGCAATTATATCAATTTTAATCTGGCCCTAAATCGAGTTATTGCAAACAGTTTGCGTGAAACTATCTGGATTTGTGTTCCTGGTGTTATAAACTTTCCAAAAAAGTATAGTTTGTTTAGTGGGAAGGACCTGGTAGCGGAACTTCACACTGGAATTTTGGCTGCAGGCCTAATTATGCTCATTTGACATTTACTAAAGTCATGCTTTCACTTTACAATAGATTAAGTTGTAAATGTTGGGGGGAGTGGCGGTGGTGGGGTGCGTTTGACCATAAGGTCTGTTGTCAATGATTCGTATGACGTGGTTTCGCTTCCAGGCGTGTACATGGCAAGGATCGGGGTAGTCTGTCCCTCGTGGGTTTTCTCCGGATCCCCCGAAATCCTCCCACAGCTCAAGACCCCTACTCGTAGGCAAATTATGGAAAGAAAATATCGAACCATGTTAGTCCCGAAATGACCTAGTTTGTGTCGAGTGGACGTTAAACCCCAACTGTGTTTGTGCCATATGTTAGTGTCCCGAAATGATCTAGTCTGTGTCGAGTGGACGTTACCCCCTCCCCCCCCCCCCACACACACAGACCCGTCTCTTTCTCACTCAACAAGACGCAAAATACGGCGTAATTTATGTCAAGGCTAATATCAAGTGATTAGTTAGCTAACAAAACAATTCTAGATCCGGGTAGCAGACTATATAAGCAACAGAGCAAACAACTTTGGCGAGACATCACTACCGTGGAAGTAGACGTTAAATATCAACAAGAACAGAACATAGGACGCGGGCATTTAGCACAACAGGAGATATAAAGTTTACTTACAGTATATTGTTGTTGATTGTTTAGATACGGTGACACAATGGTTTCTAAAGTAAAAGTAGTTATTTCGCCCATCTTTCTAGGTAAGTGGCAGTCTCCCTGTTTTCCGGGATTTGTGCATGTTTTACCTTTATACTTAAACTTTGCTATAATTTCATTTATGTACAAAAGTTAACCGTTTCTCGTTGAATATGATTACCGAATAATTCTCTACGGGTTCGTATTTTTCTAACATTAAAATTTGTAAAGGCAAAATTGGTATAAATTGTTTAATTTCAAAGGTTCATAAATAGATCGGTTAATAGGCTATAGTCTGGAGGCTCAGCGTGGGAGGGGCGTGTCCATCAAATGGGCACAAAACCAGACCCAACTTTTCTAGAGTAAAATTTTGACCCCGAATATCTCGAAAACGCCCCAACGGCGGACTGATTACCAGTTGTGTCTGGTTTTGTGCCCATTTGATGGACCCCCCCCCCCCCCCGCGCCCAGCCTCTGGTCTACTAGTGATCGGTGAACAGAAATCCCAAGATTTTTTTTTCACCAGTCGGCGAAGTGTTGCCTTTTGAAATTATATGATGATATTATATTTTTCAGGCTTATTAGTCGTTAGTTTAGCTTTGGCTACAGTAGAATCAGGTAAGCTTATTGCTTGTAAATTTCAATATAAAACACGTGTCCTTAGTGCTATCACTATTGTCTATAGACAATTTCAATTTACTTTTATATCGTGGTAAAATTCCATTCTGTTCTGGAATGGGTTTATTCATCTCAGTGGCCATTTGTGAATAGTGCAAAATTTAAGAATGGACCTGATCAGGACCAACATAGCGAATTCGTCGTGTAATGATCCTGGTTAAACATGCATTTGCAAGATCTAATCTGCCTATTGCAGGTCTTGCTGTAGGCCTGCAACGTTATCTAAATTATTATCCAGACCATAATCAACTGTCGATGCCATCGTTATCCCACGATCTTTAGTGGATTTGAATACATTTTGTGATGGATAACTTGACGTAAAAATAAATAGACTTTGTTTATTATCGTACCAATGTTAGTGATGATGATCGAGGCTAGCCTAAAATTGAATCGTTAATATCACGGTTCAGATTGGAGCAATTTGACTAAAATATTCAGCATATTCTGTTTTCATTAGCTATAGCGAGAACCGTCAGCTCTTTATCTAATCTTACCTAATCCCCATTTAAGCTATTCTTAAGCACAGTTCAGGGATTCACACTTCGTATTCCACCAGATTAAGATTCCGGTCTTCTTGCTGCAACTGAGGCAATTAAAGCACTGACAAACAATTAGTCTGGTGTCTCAAGGGGAAGTATCGCCACCGGAGATGATAATATGAGGTTTTCGACACAAACTCGGTTATTTCGGGACTAACATATGGTTCAATTTTATTTCAATAATTTGCGTGCGCGTAGGGGTCTTTAGTAGTGGGAGGAAACCATAGGGCCCTGAGAAACCCACGTACTGGGTGGGAATCTAAACCACGCTACTTGAATCAATGACAAGCCTTATGATCTAAAGCGCACACGTTAAATCATTCGGCCACCCAACTCAGAAGACGAGAATTGAATATAAGAATCATAATGGATTAGAAATTACAATAAAAATTTTAAGAATTGAAAATAAATCGCTTTATGCACATTCATATTACATTAAGATGTGCTTTTAGACACGTTTTCATCTATTTTAAGGTTCCAAAGAATAGAGCCATACACCCTTTAAATCAACTCATGTAATAACAAAAAGATTTTTTTTGTAGAAAAGGTTTTTCTGGACAGTGAATCGGCCAAATCATTTCACCGAGACAGAAGATATGTAAATATTGTTGATGAATTAAGAAGGGAAAGAGCTGAAGCTAACAGAAGAACTGCTGCATATTGTAGAAGTATTGGAAAACGACATTGCCCTTCTACATATGGTGGTAATTGCTGTTAAAATTTGGACATTGTCTTATAAATAAGTGGCATGACCCAGATACCATAAGATCCAAATTTAACCCAAGACTAATAAAACATATTATGAGTTTCTAATGAGTTGTTAGTTACATGTAATATATGATCAAAATGATATAATTCTGTTTGTTATTTTCCCAGCCAATTAAAGATAACGGTACCGTATTAACTTGCTAAAGAGTCAAGTAAGAGCGAATATGTCGAAATACAAATACATAAAGTGCTGAGGCAAACGAAGTCTAATAAAACATATGAGTTTCTAATGAGTTTTTGGTTGCATGTAATCCAAATGATCTAAGTATGTTTGTTATTTTCCCAGCCAATTAAAGATAATGCTATTTAACTTGCTAAACAGTCAATTAAGAGTGAAAATGTCGAAATACATTGGTATTTTGGCTGGTGTCTTTTTCACGTTTTTTGCTGTCTGTCTTGTTGCTTGATGGTTTGTTATAGAGCGTTATTGTTACGTGTGGATGTGTGGGTGTGTGTGTGTGTGTGTGTGTGGCGGGGGTGCGGGGGCGGGGGCGTTCACTTTGAGTTAAGCGGCGTGGTTTCGATCCTAAGTTAAGCGGCGTGGTTTCGGGTCCACCAGCTTAAACTCAAAAGTAGTCATCACAAACTAGATAGGAAACAGACGGTTCTAGCATCTTTTATACAGCAATAACCAATTTAGTAGTGGAACAGTATAATCGACGACATGGCCAGTGACATTATAAATTGATTATTAAGGTGACCGAACACTTGTCAATATTGCCAGTACCTACCATCACCGTCAATATTGCCTGTATCACCATTTATCTGCATCCATATATAGGTTTTGAATTCTAGCTTTAGCTATTATATAACTTTTATATCTGTGTTACAGCGATACGATCAGTATGATTTGTTTCAATGGCATTTGGTAATTGAATTCGATTTACGTACTTATTATTCGACTAGGCAATAATCATTATTACTTTTTCAGGATTTATTGCCCGTTCCGTTTACATTTTTGCTTGTAAGTTCAACTCCCAGGAAACAGTTGAAAGAATTCCATTCAAACTTGACACAAAATAAGGGGGCCGTTTAAATTGTTGATGTGAATGAAGGGAGATAACTGAAGTCAATTCAAATTTGAAACCGTAACGTGTGGGTCTCTGCGCCGATATTAGTCCATTCTGTACAGCTCCAAATGTAAAATCCGTCTTCATTATAGAGCGGGAGCCCAGGGTGTTAACCTAGCTGAAAAGTGTACCAATTTTCTCCTATATGGTATCAATGTATGTATATCTGGTATCATCTGCCGGGTTTCTGGTGGTGGGTGTGGGATTCCCCGCCCAAAATGCCATGCCGCCCAACTAGTCTAGATTAGCTCAAAAGTGTACCACATGAAAATCGCACAGCAATGTACCGTACATCTTCAGGTATTACAAAAACACACTGACAGACATTTCTAGTGGTGGAGTACCCCTGACAGAGCTATGTAATTGCCAGACATTTGTAGTGATGGAGTATCCCTGACAAGAGTTATCTAATTTCCAGACCAAAGCTAGGCTAGATCAGCTTAAATCTGTACCACCTAAAACAGCTTTGGAGTTGTTCAGTACCACGAGAGGAATCATGAATGACCACTGCCGGACAGTTTGTGCGGTGGGTTACCCCTAATAGACACGCCCAAAATGTCACACCCTCCAACTAGGATAGATTAGTCGGCACTGTTCCCGTGGTCCAAAAATTTAAAAATTGTGCCAGGATGCGTAGATTACTAATACCTAGCACGTATTGAAGAGGCGTTAAACTGCGGTTGCAGGAACAATTTTTTTTTCAAAAACGCATTTTTAGCCCCATAAAACGTTTTTTTCCCCAAAAATCAATTTCTTGCAACCGCAGTTTATCGCCTCTTCCATATGTGCTAGGTATTGGTATTCTACGCATCCTGGCTAAAAATTTAATTTTTTTTAAACACGGGAACAGTGCTTGCGAAGTTAGCCTAGTTGGGGGCGTGGCATTTTGGGGCGTGTCTGTTAGGGGTAACCCACCGCACAAACTGTCTGGCAGTGGTCATTCATGACTCCTGTGGTGGTACTGAACAACTTCAAAGCTGTTTTAGGTGGTGCAGATTTGAGCTTATCTAGCCTAGCTTTGGTCTAAATATTAGATAACTCTTGTCAGGGATACTCCACCACTACAAATGTCTGGCAATTACATAGCTCGGTCAGGGGTACACCACCACTAGAAATGTCTGTCAGAATGTTTTTGTAATACCTGAAGGTGTACGGTACACTGCTGTACGATTTTCATTTGGTACACTTTTGAGCTAATCTAGCCTAGTTGGGGGTCATGGCATTTAGGGCGTGGAATACCACACCCACCACCAGAAACCCGGCAGACTTACATTCTGATGATACCAGATATACATACATTGATACCATATAGGAGAAAATTGGTACATTTTTCAGCTAGGTTGACCCCCTGGGCTCCCAGTCTATTAGCCCAGTTCTGAGCAGAACGGTAGGACGTTAAACCCCATTTGATATAATTTCATTTCCAAATATAAATAATCTTAAATAATGGGGAAGCTAAACAGCAATTTTTTTTGCAATCAATTTGTTACATTACCTTCTCTAATGTTAATCCGATTTTATATATCGGTGAGCGGTAGTTGGTCATAAATAATCTGCTTACTTCACTGTGATATACTGAAATGGAAGGGTGGGTTTTTCTGTTCTTATTTTCTAAAACCACAAAAAGACCATTAAAATTTTTTAATATTATTTTCTAATTTCTAATAATTGTTAATATGATCATTTTTATAATTTTGAAACCACATACGCCGCTTGTAGACATTTTAAACGTGACATACCCATGATGGCGTGGGCTAATAGTGCTGGCTTAGGTGTCAATGTTATTGAGAAAAAAGCTCATAGTGACGAAACACCCCACATCCCCCGATTGCTTCCGCTGTCCAAATTTCAAGTAATAGGCTGTGATACCACGTTGTTCAAAATGCAGCATGGTAACCTACTTTTATATCACAAATCATACCTTGCCAAGAATAGACGAGAGATATGCTTAGGTTGTTTCCATAACCATTTATTATGTTTTCGAATAATAGCGGAAATGAAATGAAACTAGAACTGCGTAAGAGCAGTTCTGGCGTGTTTCGGTAGGTCAGGTCACGCCAACAATCAAGTTACGCCCTGAACTATTGAGTGTAGGCTAGTAATATCCATAACCTATTAAAGTGGAAAAACCTGTCATTTTGAAGTCTTAATAAAACCGGAAGTTAATATTAGTTGTTCGAAGAAGTCAGGGTCATCATAATATATATTCAAAGGTCAAGGGTCATTGAACGGTTAGGTCACCAGATAATAGGTCAAAAGTGGGAGGAAGAGAAATGGGGTTTAACGCCCACTCGACACAAACTAGGTCATTTCGGGACTAATATATGGTTCAACTTTATTTCGATAATTCGCTTGCGCGTAGGGGTCTTTAGCAGTGGGAGGAAACCGGAGGACCCGGAGAAAACCCACGAGGTTGGACAGGCGACCCTACTCCTTGTCACGTACAACCGGGGAATCGAAACCACGCCAGTCCACTCAATGACATTCCTTATGATACGATACGATTCGGCCATCCACCCATTGGCTCCCGAAGAATTGTTGCCATTTGGAGTAATTTCAAAATAATATTTTTTTTTAGAAAATCTGAATCACAATGGCGGCTGAATATCGATAGGAAGGTTTTTTGTAAATTCCAATATGGCGGCCGAACGGTTGAAAATGTTATGGAACAACTTCGCTGAAAATGAAAGACGATATATGGGGCCAACACCACCATATGTCAGAGACTTATTCATGTTCGGGGGAAAAATCGAAAGAAATCGGTAATTTAAAGAAAGTCTCTGGAAGTCATCACAAAAATTTCTAATATACCATTTAGAAGGCATTGATATGTTCTTTATTCCTGCAAAGTTTTACCTTGAAACCTCAAATACTAACGGAGATACGCCATCTTGAATGTCGCAAAATTGCCGAAGAAAACTTTCGCAAATCTTTGATGCTAAAACTAATTTGGAAAACCAGTCAGTCAGAGCCCATATGGTATTCGTCCAAAGAATCCGAAAATGAAACCCCGACGAAGATCCGTTGAGAAATAATCAAGATATGGACAATCTGAGATTATTTTTTGTCCCATCCATAAATCAATTCCTGTTAGTTAAAAATGGCCCAATTTATATTTAATAAATAGTTCCACGGAGGCCACCCACGTGTACGTTGGTAGAATGTTTGCACCATGCACAATTTTGGCTGCAACTTGTGACTAAAATACCCCCCCCCCCCCAAAAAAAAATAGATAAAAAAAAATAAATAAATAAAAAGTCTTACGAAAACATGCAGTTGGTGTTTTGTGCCGAAAGACGTAATAAAAGTGTTTTAACGCCCCACTGCTCTGAACCAACAACGCTAATGAAGACGGGTATAGGTTCGTTCGTTCGTTCCTGGAGTTTCCCGTCCACTTCCGCCAAGGGTGATATCGCGGGTATATGCCATGCAGTGTGCTTCTGAGGGAAATTTGCCAAGAGTTCACTTATGTGCAGGCTAACGTACATACAGTATCTAGGGGGTTCGTCCCATCGGAACGACTAGATGCTGTTTCTTACCAAACCCCCCGTCTGCACCACTTACAAGGGGAAACCATATTTGAAAATTTTGAGGTACTTTCTCGGTCAACACCGGCTAAGCTACACCAGACACCCCATACGTTGCGTTGGAAATAAGCTTGATCAAACATTGGGGATACCACATGGAACCAACTTGAAATGAACAGGTATATTTCATCGAGTACAAAACAGGCACCGTCAGAAATTTTTTCCTCTGCATAAGCCCCACATGGGTCCCGAATTGTGGGCTAGATTAGACATTGGAGGTACCACATGAACCAAAGCTAAAATAAACAAATAAACTTTACTGCGTATAAAATACCCCATGGCAGACAAATTGTCTGCTGTAAAAGCCCTGCAGGCTGTAAGACACGGACAAAGATGGGTCCCGTGGACATTGCGTTGGAAATAAGCTTGATCAAACATTGGGGATACCACATGGAACCAAATGGAAATGGACAGGTACATTTTATTGAGAGCAAAACAGATTCTGCCACAACAAAGTTTCCTCCATAAGCCTCCCCACCAATCAACCTCAAGAGGTCCCACGATCTTACAATTCATCGACCAATGGTGATATGTTATAATGAAATGAAATTAAATAAAACTGGGTTTAAAGTAATTACATACATCTTATCACGAACCGTTTCTGTTTACGCTACGTTTATCTCGACTAGAAAACAGTTTCACGTTCGTATTATTTCATTTTTCTGGACAGTGAATCGTCCAACTCATTTCCAACATAAGAATTGCTGCATAGCGTAGAAGTATTGGAAAACATCATTGCCCTTCTACATATGGTGGCAATTGTTGCTAAATGTTTGTCAAACCATGTATAGCGAGAGGAAATAACCAGAGGCATATTCCATCAATGCACCTTATTTCTTTAAGTATTAGAATGTGTGTATTGTGTTGCTTTTGGGTGATTGTAACTATGTTATTTATTTGTTAATTTGTTAGATCCATGTTTATATACATATTTGATACATATTTGTAAATACAAAACACCCAAATACGTTTTTATACGCCCACATTAATTTTGAGTACCCATCGGTCAACGATTGACTTGAGAACGAGATAGACCATAAGCTTCAGTTTTTGACGGATTTCTTTTTAAATTTGAGAAGACAAACCAGACAGAGAGAGAGATATTTATTTAATATCCACTGAACACAGAATAGGTTACTTTAAGAGGAACCAGAAGAATAGGCAGGCGACACTACTCCTTGTCACGTATATATGGAGGATCGAAATCACGCCAATTAATTCAAGTCCAGACCTCAAAAATAAAAACTCAATTCACGTGAGGCAATCTCCTCCATTCCAGCCGTCTTCATTGGACAAGTCGGTGCAGAACAGTTGGACGTTAAACCCCATTTCATTTCATTTCCTCCATACCAGGAAATGAAAGGAAATGAGTTTAACGTCTCGTTAACAAAGTTCTTTGATCATTTTGAGACTAACAGGGTCATTTTATTTTAGGGGTTATCACGCCGAAAGGAGTGAAATTAATCAATGAAATGAAATGATATGGGGTTTAACGTTCAGTACTGTTCTGCACCGACATATAATAATATTATGTAAAGCTACTAAAAATCAAAAGAAACTCATATGTTTTATTTAAGACTTAGGTTAAATTTAAACCTTATGGTATCTTGCCATGTCGCTTTATATATTTATTCGGTTAGTCACACATTTTAACAGCATCGACCACCATATCTAGAAGGGCAGTGTCTTTTCCCATAATTCCTACAAAGTGCAGCAGTTCTTCTGTTAGCTTCATCACTTTCCCTTCTTAATTCAGCATGAATATTCACATATCTTTTGTCGCGGTGAAATGATTTGGCTGATTCGCTGTCCAGAAAAATGTTTCCTGTAAAAGTCATAGTTTAAAACAGTATATTGAATGACAGATGTACACAAATAAAAACAAGTTTTCTGTGAATAAAATGGACATTAGCACAGATAAAGAAAATCAAAATTAACCACAATTTTTAATGAGATTTATCGTAAACATAGAAAATAAACTATTTATCATTCTAGTCGTCATTTGTCACGACTCAATACAAGCTATTATATGTATTAAAATTGTGATTATTTAACATTTAATTAAGAAAACAAAATGTGCTTCCTTCCTATGCTACCGTCAATTAAAGAACGTGTGAGCACGTTACCAACACTACATGGTCTTTCAATATGGCGTCACAAGCTTAAAAATTGTAATTTGTTTTAGTAAATCATAACCTCGTTTATTTCGTGTATCCAGATTACACGTCAGGCCATAATTATTCTATTTAACAACAGCGTAGTGTGATGGTATTGGTAATGGGAAGGAAATGCATGATACAGTCCACCAAATCATGTATTTCGCGGAATTTTTGAAACTTTTAATTTTCACTGTGAGACCGCCACTGCAATACTATTTCTATCAGTAATTACTTAACATTCTTACCAGATTCATCAGCAGCAGTGTTAAGATCAGCTATCATGATACCTGTATTGAAATAAACAGAGTATAGTCATGATAATAGCTCTACATTCTACCTTTTGACTTCCTAAAGCAATCTGATTAAATTCAAATCTATATTTCGTTTCGTATTTTTTTTATACTTTCGCGGGGGGGGGGGGGCTCTACTACTTGAAGATCTGACCAGTTGTAGAGTGAGGTCGCGTCATTGGTCATACGGACGGCTTTTAACCCAATGACGCCAGACATTTGATTAACCAATCAGCGTTGGTGTTTCTAGTAGGATACCCACAGTTCCGTGCATCGCACGCCAAGAACTCGCTGCACCGAACGTTTCATTGGTTAATCACTCACATCAACCAAAACGCGGCTTATATAACAACTCTTCCAGACCCTAGTGTAGTAAAGACAAGTAAAACGAAATTTTGAGCTATAAAAAACGAAACGAAAAAGGATCTTTTTTTTTATTTCACAAGCAGAAACAGTATACTTAATATTAGATTCCAATGTAGAATCACACCGGGCATTTCATTTATGTCTAGGGCATTCATATTAGTTTACATGAAGACATTGTAGTTTTGCATTATTGGTCAAACACTACTACAAACGAAACAATATCAATAATACACCAACAATTTCACCTTTGCTCTCCAGGAAAGGGGTATTTACATGGAAAGAGCGCGAATTCTCTTTACCAGATGCCCAATAATCCCAAGGTGTACGTTGAAGTGGACATACTAATGAGAAAAAGCAAACTCTGTATTTCGATACGTTTCCTAATGGCCAATGGAATAACCTTAGATTGTTAACCTACTGGATTATATCTACATTCGTCTCGTGAGGCCATTGCTCTAATTTTCAAGATATTGGTCTGACAGAGCGTACACAAATGTTTTCCGAATAAACTTTTCAAAAGGGCCAAGTATTGGTTGACATGTAAATCCAGTTTAGTAGAGGAACGGGTGTGTAAAAAGATAATTCGCAACTCCTATCCCAGGCACAGTCGTGTCTATTGAGATCTAACATTTACTGTAATATACTATTCAAAAAAAGTAGGGGATATTTGATTTTTAAGTGTTATTAAAGTCACCTAATGAAACTGACGAAGAAACAAATGACAAAATGAAATGAAGTTCACATTCATCGATTTATTCCAAATGATCGTTAGACTAAGTAAGGCACAGACTGACCATTATAAGGGTAAAATGATACCCGGGGTCAAACAGCAAAGTTACCACAGCATCACAACCAAGTCAGTAACGGGTAAATCCTCCTCTGTTTGCCAAACAAGCATTGATCCGACGTGGCATACTCCTAATGAGACGTCTAAGGTCATTTTGGTCCAGATTGTCCCATTCCTGTTGCAACGCAGCAGCAAGTTCTTGGACATTGGCAGGACGTTGTTGACGTTGACGTAACCTCTGTCCAAGCATGTCCCAGACATGCTCGATGGGGGAGAGGTCGGGACTCAGTGCTGGCCAAGGTAATGTGGTGATGTTCTGTTGTTGGAGGTAACCTGTAACGATCCTGGCCCTGTGACATCTTGCGTTGTCATCCTGGAAGATGAAACGGCGGCCATGACGTCGTGCGAACGGCACAACATGGACTGCCAAGATGTTGTCCCGGTAGTACTGGCCTGTAACACGCCCTGCAACAACATGTAAAGCCGTTCTTCCAGCAACAGTGATGCCTCCCCACACCATAACAGAACCACCCCCAAATCGACCATGTCTGATGACGTTAACGTCTTGGAAGCGCTCGTTTCGACGACGCCACACCCTCCTACGTCTGTCCAAAAAATCAACAGTGAACCTTGACTCATCTGAAAACATCACATTGCTCCAGCGTCGATTATCCCAGTGTTGACGATCCCTACACCAACGACGTCTTGCCTGAATGTGATGATCTCTCAAACAAGGGATCACGCGAGGACGTCGGGCGCGAAGGTGACCCCTATGCAGTCGATTCCGAATCGTCTGGCCACTCACTCTCACACCAGTGTCTGTTTGAAGACGAGCGCTGATCTGATTTGCTGTGATGACACGATTTCTCAAGGCCAAGGTACGGATAAATCGATCCTGGGCTTGAGTTGTCGCCCTTGGTCGACCTGAGCGTGGTCTGTCCTGTACAGATTGTGTATCACGGTATCTGGACTATAGCCTGCTTATGACAGATTGAGAAACATTCATCGTCCGCGCCACAACCGCCTGTGTTGTGCCGATCTGTAGCATGCCAAGGGAACGTAACCTTTCATTTTGGGTAAGCCGACGCATATCAAAATTTGTTTTCTGGTCACTAAAACAATTAAACTGATGTTTCCACCCTGGAATTCAATGCCACAATGACTGTAACATTCAAAGTCAGAGTCGTGCAAATCTTGGGTTGGACCCCCATGATGATCCCAAGCATCACCTGCATTCCATGCGGTAGCTATTAGTGCGTTTGGGCGTCACATGTAACTGGAAATGTTTCTTCTGTTAGGTTCTATATGACTTTTTTCGTAGTCATTTGCATATTTTAGTATTATGCCCCCAAAATCAAATATCCCCTACTTTTTTTGAATAGTATATTATCATGACCGATCTAGCCAAGGTTTGATATATAAAACTTGTTGGGAGCTGACTATCAGTAGCGTGTTGCGGGCCTTAATATTGCCTTTCTGACTCCAACCTAGCGTGATGCTTCTGGGTACAATGTCGGTGGGGGTGGGGTCATGGTCAACAAAATAAAATAACAAACAACAACAGACAAACCGACGCCTTATTGTTGTGATATATGATCCCGCCTAGTGTCGAAGTAAACATTAACTCGTCACACAGTAGACCTTTTGCCATCAGGTAGTTTAACCTGTCATATCAAGCATGCCGATTCCACACAAGAATCTAAATGTTCATGTATTTGGAATAGTGAAACTCAAGATAAGGCCTGTCTAGATACATACAAGCATTAACTTACTCACCCATAAGCAATAGAGACGCAACTATTTTCACTTTAGCAACCATTTTTGGTGATTGTAAACAAAAACTTGGCTTTCCTGCAGTAGACTGTTTTTGTTGTAGTCGTCGATTATATTATGCAACTGTTATGTCTAAGTGGCTTTTATAATGTCATACCCGGATCTCAATATTGTTTCATATGACATTTTGGAAACAACTATCATAAAAAATGCATCCACAGTAAGTAATTGGCTATTATAATTGTTATTCTACTGCAGGAAAATTATTACAACACCGAAAAAACTACGACGGAATTAAAATATCATCTATATTTAATCGACTTTTATTAGTTATTATGACCATTGATAAACAACTTGAACTTTCCAGTAGACTGGTCATAAAATATAACTAGGACGGAATTAAAATATCATCCATATTTAACCGGCTTTTACTGGTTATGACCATTTATAAACAACTCGAAAATAACTAAAATAAGGCACGAAGCTGATTTTTAAAGATAAAATATTTTTGGTGTTTACTGTATAGAAAGAGCATACTTATATACGCATGCCAGTTTATAAGAATTCAAATTTGTGTAAAAGACAATGACTCTTTTACCCGAACATTTTCATTAAATGCATTGTGGATACTATATCGTAACGTTATATTTCTAGGATAAGCATTCATACTTATAATTACTTGCCTTGGACCTCTCTCGTAAAGTACCAGTCAGCTACCCGCGTACTTCTTTGTATTCTTGCACCTCTTATAAACTCGAATACGTCATTGCCTTTTATTATTCCGACTAAACAGTGAACAAAAACAATGAAGCAACAGGATAAACCAGTTCTAGACATTATGGACCTGAGTGTCCATTCAACACAAAGTTGGATTATTTCACGGCTTAAATATGGCATATTTGAATTTCATTAAGTCATTTGCGTAGCCAGCCGATGGTTAGGCGGCGTCCGCCAAGACAAAATAATTGAGCTGTTTCATTTCCTCTAGAAACAGCCCCCTCCATCAATAAAGTACGAGGGCTGGCTGAAAATGCCTAAGTCCATCTGCATAGTCAACTTCGCGAGGCCTGGATTCCGGTCAGGAAGGAATCAATTTCTTCAGCCCCCACCCCCCAAAAAAAAGTCGTTCACAGATGACGTCATCATTACTAGGAAAATGACGACCGACTAGTTCCTTTTTCATTTTTGGGAACAGATCTCATCCATGGTTACATATCTGGCCAAAATATTATCAGGATCTACTTTAAAACCGCGCAGATTGTCACACGGGACGTTACGAATCTGACACATTTCTGATCCGAAGTCAAGAGCTCTGGTACCCATCTTGCAGACACCTTTGTCATTCTTAACTCGTTGGCGATAATGTGCTCAACCCCTCTGAGTGGCAATATAGTTTAAACAATATTTTATTCAATAAACTGAATTGGATTGAACAACAGGCAAGGCCTATATAAGTTCTCTCCAAACATATAAAATAGTTAAATCTTATGTTTACAATACAGTGGTGACATATGTACAGACAGTGAGTAACAAACATATATACATTTTGAAGTGTAATTTTAAGTTTTAAATGTTAAAGTTTTAAAATATCTTGGTGTCTTTTATGTATTTTTGCACTATTTCAAATATGTTGGAATTGGTATTATCTGAAAGAGAGGGGTTGCCATATAGGATCAGGTCAATTGTAACATTTTGATTAAGGTGGTGTAGATTATTTTTTAGAATTTTTCTTGGGGCAGAGTAGGCTGGACATATGAAAAAATAATGGTAATTATCTTCGTCTGCAGAATTACACCTAGGGCACATCTTTGTGTCACTAATAAAATGGTAGAATAAGTGATTATTTAAGTTACTAGCTTTATTTCTTAATTGGCAATGGATAATATTCTCTTTCCTATTTCCAGTATTATAATATAGTAGTGGTCTAATTAAAGGATACACGCGTGAAAGGCCTAATTTGAATGTACTTAACGTTTGTGAAGTTTTAATATTTTCAGGTAAGTTGTTCCAAAGTTTAATTGTGCAGGGAAAGAAACTATTAGAATATGAACTCGTTTTACAAAATGGTAGATTGAGGTTCAGATTTTCATTTCGAAGGTTATAATTTGATACAGACGGTTCAAATTTTTTAAAGGCTTCAGATAGATAAGTGGGACTTAGGTTATTCTTTATTTTGTATAAGTAAATTAATTTGTGTTTTATTCTGCGATTAGACAATGATTCCCAACCAAGCTCTTTGTATAAATTGTTTTTAGATGAATTTCTTCTAAGGCCAGTTATTATTCTACCTGCTTCAGTTTGAACACTTTCTAATAGATCAGAATCCTTCTTTGAACAGTTATCCCATACAATATCGGCATATTCTAAAATCGGACGAATAAAAGCAAGATATATTTTGTTAAGTGAAATTCTGTTAATTTTGTATTTCAGTATACGCAAAATATTTAGTCGACCACAAGCTTTCTGGTATATATTTGAAATGTGTTTTGACCATAATGCATTAGACTGAAATGTTATTCCCAAATGACAATGAGTAGTTACGTTTTCAACTTTTGTATTTTCAAAAATAACGTCTGGATGGATTGTATTTTTCCTAGTAAAAATAATATCTTTAGTTTTATTGGGGTTAAAAGTTATACACCATTGTTTAGCCCACGATGAGATAATATTCAGATCTTCAGTCATAGAGTTCGCGCTACTTAGAGGATCATTATGAATAATGGTAAAAAGTGAAGTATCATCGGCGAATAGCCTTATGTTGTTAGTAATATTATCGGAGATATCATTTAAATAAATTAAAAATAGGAAAGGACCCAGCACACTTCCCTGGGGGACTCCAGAATCAGTATACAAATAGTTTGATTTGAAACCTTCTAAAACTACGCATTGTTGTCTATTACTTAAATAGTGTTCAATCCATTTACATAATATTTCATTAACTCCATATTGTTTTAATTTAGACAATAAGCCTATATGCCAAACTTTGTCAAACGCTTTTGATACATCACAAAATATAAATCGAATTTGCTTTCCTTTATCAAGATTACTAATTATAACATCATAAATTTCTAAAAGTTGGTTTATTGTAGAATCGTTAGGTTGAAAACCAGACTGATACTTATATAACAGGTTATTTTCTTTTATAAAATTATAAAAGATTTTTGAATAAGATTTTCTCTAGTATTTTACACAATGAACATGTTAATGAAATTGGTCTATAGTTTTCAGGGAACTGCGGATCACCCTTTCCTTTATACGCTGCAATGATATGTGAAGTCCTCCAGATATCAGGTAATAATTAGAGTTCTAATGAAAGATTAAAAAGTTTAGTGAGAGGGCTTGTGATTGATGGAGTTATCTTTTTCAATACAGCTGGACTGATTGGCAATATGTCGTGTGGTCAATCGTAGATCAGTCATAACAATGTCAAGCAACCGGATAATGTTTACTTGAATGGTTGCTGTTGATGGCCTTCCAGGACGTGGGTCATCGTCAAGGCTCTCTCTGTCGCGCTTAAATTCCGTAGCCCACCCACCTCTTTACTTTGGAAAAGGAAGGAGCATCATCATGGTGTAACATCTTGTGAATATGCATCATGTCCCTCATCTTGCTTGATACCCAAAACTACTTGAGAAATTAGATGACTATTTGAAATGACTATTTGAATAAAGTGTATTCATAACTTCAGTGTCATGTATAGAACATAGCATCATTCGTGAGTATCTAAAAATTAAGCAATGTATTAATACCAATATTTATTAAAATAGTATAATAAAAGGCTACACATGTACACAAGTTTGATTAATGATAGAGTAACTTTATCTGATCGACTGATCACCACCTAAACTTTAATCTTTCGGAATGTAGTGACACATGAACATCTATATGATGCATGTAGGCCACATTAAGTTTTTGTGACCCCAATCAATTTTAATTATTCAAAATATACTGCGTGTACATGAGCTACCGCTACCAAACTTGAATTTGTGTAGGTATAAGTAGCAAAACGATCAACGTCCGTGTTCCAAACGCATCGACTTGCATTCTGCATGCCCTGGCCTAACTTCTCCATTATAGTTACTGTACACACATACTTATATCGAGGAAAATCTAAGGACTTAACTTTAGATTTGATAAAGGCACTAAGATCGACGGACAATTTTTTACAGATAGCAGCATTGTATGTCATATCGTGTAGCCTTGATTCGAGGATATCTTTTAGCATATTGGTAACTTTTTCTGGTTGAAACTTTTCATCTTCATTAGGCTCTAGTCTATACGTGTTTTCCTGTTTAATTATAGGCCTTGAGTTCCGTCTTGAATTAAGCCTAGCTTTTTGCTGCCACGCTCTAGCACCAGCGACAAGCCTAAAGATAGACAAACCAGGATTGGACCTGATTTGCGTTCTGCCAGAATTTGATTCTGTCATACTGATCAATCTGGACCGTCTTCTTATGTTTAAACCCCCCTCATCAGGTTTACTCACTTGACTTTGCTGCAAAGAGAAGAATGACCCATCAATTCCAATAACGACTTCAGTTGATTCATTTATAGTTGAACAAACAAAATGTTTATTTAAAGATACACTATGTCGACCATTTTTGTTATAATTGTTGATAATTAAATAATGAGAAATGAATGTATTGAAAATCTCAGTCACATTACTCTATTTTAAGCGAAGTCATTAAATAGCCTTAAATTGATGATCATTGGCAGATGGAAACTCCACAGCTGGTATTTTCGACTGTCATGTTCCATTGCCACTATAATAAACGAAATTTCGATTGTTAGTTTAACACAGATATGGCGGACATAGTCTAATCCATTCAATACCTAAGACACCTGATTGTCTAGAGAGTATGTCATTTGAAGCCAGAAAACACCCTGCATTAGACGAGTTTAGTTCTCGCATATTTATTTTGTGGGAAAAGCTATACGCTACGTGAACAATTGACACCCATGAATTAGACCAGAGGCAATTTGTACGAGAATATATATATATATAAATGTATATATACATACATATAATATAGTTTGCGCCGTGTACAACACCCATTAGAATTTTATTGTTTAGAGAGGGACCTGTGTTCAAACGTATTTTAAGTGTCTGGCACTAAACGTGTATTGAAGTCTATTAATGTTTTAATTAAGCCTACCCTGAGAGATTCGGCATATAAACTTTTCCTAGTAGTAAGTATCTCCAACATATTCAGAGCTTTATTTCATAACTACTATAGTCCGATGGAATAAGAGATGCTAGCAATAGCATATAACTTTAAAACAATTAAAACGTCAAGAATACAAAAAACGTCAGATTGAAAATCAGTCAAATCGGAAACAGAAATATGATCATGTATAACACAACTAAAGACTGGGTAACACTGGAGGCATTTACAATCAGATCAACCAAATAAGAAACTCCATCACATAATTATTCGTTTACTTCCTGGGAATGAACACATTAATAGAACCATTACTTCCTATATCGACATCACAGAACTAATTATCTATCGCTTCATATATCTCAACATATTTTGTTTGTCATCTACATTGAAAGGATATAAGCGAAATACATATCCACCAAATGGATACGATCTCTAATAATGTAAACAAAGATTCAATTTTGTCTGCCTTAGAAACCAAATCACCTATAAACAAAAGAAATTCTCAACCCTGGCATTTCTACAACCGCTATTAAAAATAAAAGTAGATCTGGTCGAGTATATTTTACAACTTTGTATTTATCAAGTACCGATAAGGAAACGATAAAACTGGTCCATTAGACTACTTAAACATTACTTACCATTTTATAGTATTCATAAACTCCTTAAAGAATAAACATATCACAGACACACAACTTATTTTCGAAAAGCAGAACAAACATCGATACTGTCTAGATCGATTATTCGTTCATTGACATTAACATCGATTAGTGGCGCATCACAGTTCTACTAAACAACCTGAATTTGACATCCATAAAAGATATACTCATCAATGGATTTTAGATTATCTATAGTTTACGACCGATGATGATACGCCTAACACACAAAGAGATAATATTGATGGGTACTATTGTGGCACCATGTACATACAATAAACCACAAAAATGTTTTATTCTGAAAATCACCACAAACTAAATATTCTGCGAAATTGTAATCCAAGGCTATCACTTAATGGTTGCATTTTAAACAACAGTTATATCCTATTACTTATACATGTACATCGTCCAGGGCTTATACCTAAAGGTGTACTAAGAGGTGTAATATTATGCCGTTAGGTCCAGGGTTATCAATTTCACTCAAGTAAGTCATCAATGACATTCAATAGAATACTACTTCTAAGGTGCACTCATTGTGTTGAATAGTTTATAAATTACCTATCAACGATAAAATGTCCACACCACATATACCATTACAGTCAGTTAAATGATACTCATATCGAGAAACATACCTATTGGTCTACACTATCTTATAGAGATATACAATAGTATACAAGACGGGATTAAGGAAGAAAAAAAAAGAATTCCAGAAACTTTGATGGCTAGGGCTTTTAAAGATAATAATTGTTGAGCTGGTTTCTTCTATGGGTCACGATAAGGACAATACGATTACATAAAATACAATACGGTTTAGGCCCATATTGGACATATGATTTGACACCAACATTCAAACAATCAACCTTTCCAAATATTTATATATAAGATCTTTCTACAACGTACAAACTCCCCTAACTAATTATAACAATTAATAACAAACCGAATTTACAGTTTGGACCTGGAATTTGAAGACAACGGTTATTGGTTTAAAGACACATCAATCCCTCCTCCCACAACTTTAAAAAAAAATAATTACCGATCTCTGTCTTGTCGGGGACAGGGAACTGGCTTTGTATGTTGGGTGGATATTATCATGCTGTTTTACTGCTTGTTCTGTTAATTTATCTGTAGACATTTTAGACATCTTGAATGGCAGTAACCTGTAATATAATACCAATTATAGTAAACATATAACATACTAAACGATAATAAAACAAAGTGCTAAATTATCATATTAAAGGGCATAGTCTCTTTGAATTATGGGGAAAATGGAAGAGTTTGTTTAATTTAATTTGTTGATTCGTTTGTCATTTTCTCTTTAAAATGTTTAAAACGAAATTTATTATCGACTCGTGTTCACATAGGTGAATATCTTCAACTAATGGGGGAGTTGTGTTACCGAATGGTCTAACGCGTGTAATCGTCTTAGAACAACTTTTTTTACAAGGGTTATCAAGGGTATGTGTGCTATGAAGAATTTCGACCAAACGAGTCAAAAGCTTTAAAAACTTTGTTTAACGTTTCTTTTCCAACAAATAAAATCAAATGAAATGAAATGGGATTTAACGTCCCACTGTTCTGCTCCTACTGGGCCAGTGAAGAAGGGCATACGCCATACAGTGTGCTATGAGGGATATTTTTCCGGATAGCGGTGCTACGGACTACTCTTACATCGAATTCCAACAGTCAAGGGATCTTTTACGTGCGGGCCAATGTGTACACGGGACCTCCGTTTTTTTTGTCCCATCCGAACGACTAGACAGCTGTCCTTGTCAGGCCAACTGTCCTGCACCACTGACATGGGGAAACCACACCGGAAAATCCCGATGAACTTTTTTGGCCAATTACGCCGGGAGCGAACCCGCAGTACAGCGAGTCAGTGTCTTACTCACTTAGCCACCATGGCTTCCTTTTCCAACAAGTATGGTTTAAAATGACAGTGATCAGAGGTGTATGAGCCGAGGGTGAGGGTTGTTGGGTGTATGGCCCTCAACATTCGGGCAAGCAGATTTTTCAGGCAGACGAATAAAGTGAAAGAAAACAAAATCCGCTGACTATTTGGTCTGCAGTCACTCTGAAGGCATTGTGCGACAATTCTCGAGCATCAATCATTATTTGTTTCATCAATTTTTCGGGAATGGAAATTTATTTAAATTAAATTAAAAACATTTAAAAGCAGTGTAATAAACCACTTTATATGCAACGTTTGTTTCATTAATTTCTCGGCAAGTGAAATTTCTCGGGTTTTGTGAATGCAGTTGCAGCGGTCTGATTGATTGGTTGACTTTGGTTCACGTGGGCATTGAGTAAGATTACGGTTGAAAACTATATAAATAAGTTTATATTGGACCACTTTCATTCTAACCCATAGTAACCCAATACGTTTTAAAAAATATACCAACGGAAAGCTATCGAGTTTTGCAGGATATTACCATGTCTTTATTTCCTCTTGCCAAGTTTACAAAAGGTATCGAATAATATCCTTTAGACATGAAATGAAATTAAATGAATTGGGATTTCAAGAACTACTTTTCATGGGTAATGAAGACGGGTGGAAAATTAGAGATGAGCGCCCAGAAAGAGTTCCGTTACGTCCACGAGTCTTGTCATTATTTGGAAATCTATTATCGTAGGGAAGTATAGGACTATAATTTGATGATCTGACAACTTTTTGTTTTACCGCCAAAATTAATGGCTCGTCAGTCATTATGTAAAATAATTATAACTCGATTGGTTGAATATATTATACGAATGGAATGCGCCTCACTTTTGAGCAAATTTACTATGGTCCGCCTAGTCTTCATGCCATCGATTCCTTAACATGTACACCAATATGTACACGCTTTGGCGTCTTTTGTTCAATCTGAAATACTGGGCAACGCTTTCTTGGTCAGTATGGCATGGGCTGGACCTAACAAGTCGGAATCGGGATTAAAATATTCGTAGATTCTTTAGGTCTAAAACTAGAGACAGTCGAGAAACCGTTGCCCTAATTGCTCGATTATCACTCCCTCCGAAATAAACCATATGAAATATGAGTAAGATTAGCTATTATCTATGTGTGAATTTTATAAACTAATTTATTAAGAGTTAATTGACCATCTCAACTTCCTTAATTACACCATCATTATCTACTTTCACCTGTATGCGACCTTAATCTGACCTTCTAGTAATATCAGTTGAGCGTGATGACAACGTTATTTACCATTGGTAGATTACACCCGAACAATACATATATCTAGTAAGTATATGGCCTTTTATCTTAGAGTATACTGTATATCAATATTAGCTCTATAGTCCTATAGATACCATTCTTGCTTATCAATAGAAAATGTAGCTAACATGCAAGGTATAAATATGATGAAAACTGTAATAACAATGAACATGGAAGACAAACTACCATTTCTCTGTTGGGTGACTCTCATAAAATTGTTTTATTACTAATTTCTGGACTGGATTCCGCCAATAAGCAGACAAGGTCCACTGCATGCAATGCTCGATATATATATATATATATATATATATTGTAGTATGATGTATTATATTGGACAATAAACCCGTACTTGATTCTAATATACAAACCATATTAAAGATGTTGAGCAGGTAATATAGAGTTATTAAAATTCATATTAACACTTTATACTGTAGATGTAAAGTGTTTTATTCACAATTTACCTTTCTTATAAAATCTCTATATGAACTTGATAATGAATTAAGAGAACAGTTTTATACTTTATTACTTCTCAAAATCTGCGTAACTCTTGTATTTTGTTAATGTTCGTAAATCGCCCAAATAATTAAACTTGGAAATAAAAACAAATTAACAAATAAACTATAGTCTGGTTTAAAAGAATTAAAGGCTTCCCCGTCTATGTCAGTTGATTTTTTTTTCTTCAGGTCTTATTAATAAGATGTCTTGGGTTTTTTTTTGAAAACTCGCTTTAATAACTCCCAACAATGTGGTATATATGGCACGGTAGACTTCATCTTCCTCGATAAAAACGCCATCAAAGTGTATTCCGTCACGTCATGATTGCTGGATCGTATTGACCAGCACCAGCTTCTTACTAGTTTTCGTTACAGTCTACCTTTTGCTAAACAGATGACCATAGTTTATATTTCAGTTCTCTTATGACTTGACTTCCACGGCAGGAAGGCATCGCATGGTTCTAACGACTGTACCGGACTGGAATATTTCCCTGGGTGTGATTCCTGCTGTTACAAAAGAGATCTTTTCGTTGAATTGTGAAAAAATCAAGAACCCAGATAATTCACGTCCTATTGAAATTATGCCTTTTGTCTTCCGGTTATAATCGTATATGATCTCACTGAGTGGGGGTAATCTACTAGGATTGCTGTCACTAGATTTTTTTGGCAGATTTAAAATCATTTGTGGTTCGAGCTTAGACGTGTATTAGACTTAAAAATGGCCGACATTCGCGTTTAGGATGTGGTGTACTAAACTGACGTTTAATTCGACACTAAAAACTGATAGAAATAGAAAGTAGCAAACAAAACTGTTCAATGAATACTTGTATTGTGTATTGTATACCTGCATTTTCTGCTTTTACGTACTGAGGTCAATGGTAGGCATGTCATAAAATACTATCTAGTTCATTTTTTTTTATTATTTCTATTGTGTTTTGTCTATTGTGAGAATTTAATATAAAAAAATCCATATGATTGTATTGATAATAATAAACGGCTATTTAATACAGGCTACACTACATTGGGTTATTCAGCTATGGGTTTGTTGTGTGTTGGGTTTAACTAAATGATCCCAGTTCAGTTTCTATTTAGTATATGATTTGGATTCAGAATTTCGTTAAAGAGCAACATGTCAGAATAAAAGTCATATGCCTATATAGAGTTTATAAACACAGCACTCCAGGACTACAAATCAATTGTACTCAAACCAAAAACATTTGTGCACGATTTATTCAAATAACATCGACGCCAAGAGATTTTTTAAACTTGAAGTTTTGTTAAATTTTCGGGGAATGCTCATTAATCCGCGGGTGCACTAGTCCGCCGATATCTATTATTGTCATTTTTACGATTGATGATCACATGTAAATGCACACTCGTTACGAACTCTGAGAATAATACTAACGCACATACCCTGACAATGAAATGTAACGCACCCACACTGACAATGAAACGTAAACCACAAACCCCGACCGACAATGAAATGTAATACATCAACCCCGACAATGCAATATAATGCACCAATCCTGACAATGGTATGTACGCAATGCACCCACACTAACAATGGTATGTAGCCATTTTTCCAAGAATTGATTGCATTCAGTATAAGAGTAGGCCGGTAGCGCCGCTATCCGGGCAAAGTTTCCCTTATAGTACACCGTATAGCGCATGCCCGTCTTCATTCGCCCACTCGGAGCAGAGCAGATGGACGTTGAACCCCATTTAATTTCTTTTACTTTTCCTACTTTTCTGCACCAATCAGCATACGCTATGCCGAGTGCTACGAAGAAAATATTCTTGGGACAGTGGCATTTCTCCATCGAATTCCAACTGAGAAGGGTTGTTTTATGTGCAAGCCAATATGTACTACCGAAAGGGAGAAACCACGCTGAAAATCCCGGGTAATTTACTTGACCAACAACAGGACCAGTGTACATAATCAAACTGTATATTGAGCGGAGGATGGCCGACAACCCGACATCACGACATAGGAAAATACGACATGTCGTATTGTTGGGTTAAAATGTCGAGATGTCGGGTTGTCGTGGTGTGGGGTTAAAATGTCGTGATATCGGGTTGTCACATTATGAATGACTACACAACGACATCACGACATGATACCAATCGGCCACCATACCTGCTGATTTTTTTTTGATACCCATATACTATTTTTTTTAAAGAGGCGGACTAGTGCACCCACGGACTATAGTCCACTCTCGGACAAGTGAACCCCTCTCAAATTTTCTAACATACTTTTTAAAGAGCACTTTTCATTTCTCTTTATTTTAGAATTTTTTTCCCCTCATAACACACGGCATGGCGTATACCCGTCTTCATTAGCCCGGATGAAGAAGAAGAGTGGTATTATAGACTGGCGCAGTCGGGGTGTGTCCAGAACAATCGAGGACAACAGCTAACTAAATTAAATAAAATCAAAATACATGTACTATAATAGCCCAAATTTATGTTGTGGTATTTAATAAGGAACTAAACCCCTTTGATGTAGGTCAAATAAAGTAGTCAATTGGGTTAAATTTATGTGTTATTTTTTTTTTATTTTGGGGATTCGAAAGACTTCCATTACAGATTAAAATATCAACATTCAGATATGGATATAAAAACTTTAAAAATAGAATTCTATCTATTGTTTAAAGCTACACTATGAACCACAGTTAGTAGGACGCTATACCCTATTTCATTCATTCATTTATTCTAAGAATTGGAGGGTGGTGTGGATAGGTGATAGGGTGCTCCTGGGTTAGGTTTAGGATCATCATGTCTCAAAAAGACCTGGTGGCAGGAGGGTTCTATAGAGTATACCTGCCTATTGCACTAGTCTTTATACATGTACATGTAGTCCAGACCGTCTAATATGTACAAAGATCGAAGACAAGTAGCGCAAATACATGTTTTATGTTGTAAATATAAAACAACAATGGTTATTGTTGATCGTGTGAATCTATATTAAACTATATAGAATCTGGTTTTAATATTGTTGTGTTTGAACTATTAACATGGAATTAGATTTTAATATGTAATAGATAAATCACCGACAATATTAGTTTGACAAATCCATTCAGTCATAGAAATTTATGAAACTCGTTCATATATTGTTTGACTATTAAAAGAAATAAGAAGACTGCCCGTGTGAGTTTTCTCTTTATTGGTGTTTTTTTGTTTTTTTTTTGTTTGCATATTAAAATGTTTTTTGTTTGCATATTAAAATGGTTTTTTTTACATGACAACTGTATTTATTATTCCTTTTTATTTACAATTGTATCTATTGTTTGACATGATTGTTGACAGTTTGTCACCTGCCAAATCACGCCCGTGTAATATACACCCATTACGACACATCATAACATTGTCGACATCTGAAATGTTTAAGTACACGAGAAGACTAAGTGGTATCGTGCGTTCCAGAAACTGTGTGCATAACCCGAATCGCGCACGACGTTCAGAATTCAAAACTATTTTTAGAGGGCCGATGTCTACCAGTCATTTTAGGTCTAATATTTAAAATAACGATATTATTAAGTCAGAATGAATGCCACCTACACCCTCCTCGAAACAGGACTTACAATCAGTCAGTTCCCATTACAGGAACAACCATAGCTCACCCTCCCGTCTTTACCCGTAGAATTATAGAATTACATGTAATTTACAGAAAGTGTCACTCTGTCACTGTCACACAGCACATTATCCCAGTCGGCGCAGAAAAGTAGGACGTCAAACCCCATTTCATTTCTATAGTTTACAGAAAATGTTACGTTGTGTGATTCTTACCTGTTATTCAGTTTGTTCCAAAAATTTCACAGTTCAGAAAGCTGTCTGTAGGTACAACAATTGTTTACTCTCTGTAGATTGGTGTACGGTTTTTGAGTTTAGTTTTCATTTGAAAGTTCAGATTATAAAATCATCGTATTCCTGAATTTACTTTGTTCACAAATTTTTGAATATTTTGTTTGATCTCTTCATATAACGTATTAAATAATGTATTTAAAAAGTTTTTTCAACACAAGAGTAGGTTCTTTATAAATTATTCTTTAGATTCGATCAAATTGCAAACTGCTCTTCATATTCTATACTGCCGTCGATATTCACACCCCTCCTTCCGTTAATCCGCCTAAAATCTATCTGTTGGTAATCCGCCACAAGTATGAAGTTGAAGTACTTGAGTTAAGTTTGTTAATCTTCAGTTAGTCTATTGACTAGGTTAATACAAATAGACATTGTATCTATCACTAAGCTAACATACAACCTACCATACACAATCACTATTCACTTTTACGCAGAACAGGGATATAGTAGCTGTATGGGGGAGAGACTACGCCAAAAATAATTTCCTATAATTTATTATGTGAAAACTTTACGTCGACATTAAAATTTTGAGAAGAACAAACAAAAGTAAAGCATTGTTAATGAGTGTTATGCCATACAGGGCTATCTGCATTGTCAACGAACACCGTTCGTTCTATAGTGATGTATTTTCACAAAAATACTTTTTTCTACTCCTCTGTCCGCATAATTGAATTATTCGATAGAATGTCGTTTAATGCGTTTGAAATAATACAGATGTGATGTGTGCATTTCAAAGTCACAGCTTTGTCTATAGGCTAAAACATTTTTATAGTCCGGTAATCACATCAATTCACGTATGGAGATAGAGATAAAGGCATTATGGTTATTCGATACGAATAAAGTTCGTAACTTTCAGAGAAAAACTTACCCTAAGAAAAACTTATGACCCCCCCTTCCCCAATTCCCCCCACCCCCCACCCCCCAAAAAAATACCCCCCCCCCCAAAACCCCGAAATATTTACGCCTGTTTCACAAAGGCCGACGTAAGTTTTTTTTTTCAATTTTTTTCGTATAATATACGTCTTTAATAGTCGTGACGTCATGTTGCATCACTTCATTCATAATTCTGTAAACATTCCCATTATCTGAATTTTGACAATGTCTACATTTATAGCCGTTAAGTTTGATTTTATCCCCACCTTTGTGAACATTAACTACCAAAACGATATATTCCTTATATATACTCTTACATTTTACTGTCAGTTGATGGATAACATGCTATTTCCATGCATGCCTTTTGTTTCCTAGTTTTGTGCTCTACATGCGGGGTGGCATGGTGCCCCACAAAGAAAGGCGTAAACAAAATTGAAATTCTGCAGCACCCAATTGAAGGCGTTAAGGCAAAATTATAGAATTTTAAAAGGAAAACTTTTTGACCACATCATCGAACTACAGAGTTTAGAAGAATATTTGTGAACGAAGTACGGGTCGGTAGTCATAGTGTAATGAAAACTAGCATATTGAGATTATTTTAGTTGAAGCCCCTTTTAAATACTATGTTGTAATGTAAATGTTGGCTTTCAACCGATATTCAACCATTGCTCGTGGCCCTAGAACTATTATCTCAGAGCTTCTGGTTTTATAAAATTCTCGGGTAATCCCCACACCTCACGCTGTCACGCGACTGTCTCATTATTATTATTATTATTATTATTACTCAATCTTGGACCCCCCTCTGCTCAAATTCCTGAAAACACCCGCCGCGTATTCCACTGCATGATATTAGCATGGGATATTTCTAACCTTACAGACATTGCTAGTGTAAACAATGGAATTAAAAAATGTCTCTACTGATAATATGATATACAGGATGACATGAGTCAATATAATTTTATTGATGGAAAGCTTTGGGCACACTGCAGATTGTATGCTATAAAGAGACACTGTCTGATTCTATGACCTTGTAGATTTCAGGCCTTCTGAAAATAGAAACATTAACTATTTAAATCTAGAGAGTTTTGTGAAAGGGGAATCTGTAATTTAAAATTCCATCGATCTTGCCATAAACCAAATTGACGGGCCTGTTTTAAATCAGTAATTTTAGACAACTGGTAAATGCTATAAACTTTGCCAGGTTAGTGATATTTAGCTGACGATGTGCTGCCATTGAAGTACAGTTTCTAGTGGATTATCTGATTTACAATATGCAAATTCAGAAAAGCCTATCAGAATGGTCAAAACTGTTGAATAAAAGAAAATAATACACAAATTACTGTAGCCAACAATTGTGTAATTATGTGGCAGCATCGCTTTAACTATGCAGAATGTTTACCATGTTGATTACATTCTGTCAATCAATAACACAAGTAATTGGATTTTATTATTTTTAGATCTCATCTTGCGTTATATATATATCGGTTTAATAAAGGAAAATAAATATTTTTTATTTCAATATAATTCACTGAGAATAGCAAATCACCTTCCATAAATTGTAATAGAACTCGTAAGTAGTACTTTGTAAGTAGTACATTTCGGCACTGCAATTTTACTCAAATTTTACTTTTCACACCATTTCAAACATGATTACGCCATTGTCGCCTACAAACTTTCTGCGAATTAGAGTGCATAGATCTTTATACGTTCAGAAAAATCGCCGCCTGTACCGAATAAATAATCATATCTGTAAAACTATGCTAAATATTGTATGACATTTTATGGCGTAAAATGGACGATAAAACTTATGAATGAAAATTCAACTGAAGGGAGATAAATCCACCGATATACCCATCACACTTTTCTGCACCAATCGGGCTAATGCAGACGGGTATTCGTCAGAACAGCGGCGTTACGAGCTATTCCAAGTTCGATTTCCAACTGTTAGGGGATCTTTAACGTTTAGCCAATGATATACACGAACCCTCACTGACAAAGGGGAACCAGACTGGAAAGTGATCTTTCTCTGCTTAGAGTTCTGGGCTCGTGACCCAGCGATCGAAGGATCTCTTTTTAACAGTACAATCGCGACTATGGGACGAAGGTTTACTTTAGCTTCTTAGGTGGAACAGCCACATCTAAAATTTGCTGAAGTGCCGTGGGTTCTTTTGCTCCTTCCTTATTCATCTTCCCAAAGAGTACGAACGAAACGAGCTTTTAGACAGTGCGGTGCGCCTTCTAGATATCTTACACAACGCCACCAAATCGGGTAGATACAACTATAGATACACATAACACATATTTACTATGGTTCTGTCGTTTCATTAAAGTTTCCGGTGAAACAAAAGAAAACAATGTTCTATTGATATTGGGCGAACATTCAGCGCACACAATAATAGATTTGGAGTATATCCATTTGGCCCGTAATAATGGCGCCACCCTTTTATTATACTTCCTCACTGCTACTCACGAAGGGCATGGAGACTTACACAATACTACCCAATACCACTCCGGTACTAGCTAAATATAAGCAAATATCACCACATATTACCTTAATATTGTGAAAAACTAGCATAATACTTCAATTATAAATATGAGTTAATTCGTGGAAAACCTGCAAAATATGTACGGCAAAAGTGATTGTCAATGTCTCGCTATTCCAGTCACCTCACTTGATTCCAACACTGACAACTATTAACCCATACTATCAACAACCAATCCATTTCTGTAAAATAATGAGCCAATATTACCCCAAAATGATAAAAGTAAAATTATTTGATTAACAACACGTTTGTTTTTGGAAAATTATTTATTCAATGTTTAGCCGTTCCATTTATCACTGATACACTATAAATACGTGACCCAGAGATGCATTCTCATTAGTTCAAGACCCTATAATAATAATACTAATAACTTTATTTCAAAAGGGTTGAAAATTAGGCCAATGGCCTTTCTTAGGAACACTGCCCTACAAAGTTCAATATCCAACATGTTCAGGTCTTGTCTGCGATATCACCTCGGTGGAAGCGGACGTAAAATACAACTAACACACACACACATGTTCAGGTTTTTGTCTGCGATATCACCTCGGTGGAAGCGGACGTAAAATACAACTAACTCATACACATGTTCAGGTTTGTCCAAGCTTTTTCACAGTTGTTCAAATTCCCATACACACGATAGGCCATTTTCCTGCGAATGTCATCATACAAATGTTGGATGGTGTTCTTGAACAAAAGTAGGAGCGTGTAAAATGGTTTTAACATGTGTTTGTATTTTATAGTTTTGTTCAGACAATGATTGGTATCCAAGCCCAGGAATCGTGGTTAAGGAATATTCTCGGTCGCACTTTACATGAAAAGTCAAATGAGTTCAGTAAAACTTGAATTTATCCTATCGTCCGGATAATATTTGGAGATTGTAACTTTGAGGAAACGTATGTGAAGAAATTCGACCCTAACAAACGATCGACTTCACACCTACAACATTATAGGCCGACCGTTTTAATCAGTCTACTGTAGGTTTTTAATGGAAATTTGCCAGGTGTACTCTAATTTCGAGTTCCAACTGTCAAAGGTTCTTTAACGTGCACGTTAATATGTAAACGGGACTTTCGTCTCATCCGAACGTTGTCCCTTACCTGGCCATACGTCCTGCACCAGTGACAAGCGGGAACCACACCGCGAAATCACCATGTCAAGTGTTGTTCATCACCATATTATGTTGTTTATTTGGCGAAGATCACCTAGGTAGGAATGTATATTGTATTTTGTATAAAAAACAAAAGATTGTCCTGTATCTACAACAGATTTTAACAGGCCTATAGGGCATTTGTTTCTATTTGTGTCCAATACGTATATTCATTTTCTATTTGTATATAGTACATATCGAAATAACTATGGCTGGGGCTATTTGCCACATGTGGTAAGACAATCCGGAGACTATTTGCCACATGTGACAAGTCTCATTTCATGTGGCACGGCTACAGACCACAATTATCAACCGATTTCAATGAAACTTACAGATTATAATAAGAGTATTAATATCTCAAACTAGCTTTCGGCCACTTCCGGTTAACGGTTTCCGAGATATTAGGTTACCACACATTTCATGTGGCACGGCTACAGACCACAATTATCAACCGATTTCAATGAAACTTACAGATTATAATAAGAGTATTAATATCTCAAACTAGCCAAAATTTCGGCTACTTCCGGTTAGCGGTTTACGAGATATCAGGTTACCACACATTTCATGTGGCACGGCTACAGACCATAATTATCAACCGATTTCAATGAAACTTACAGATTATAATAAGAGTATTAAGAGCTCAAACTAGCCAAAATTTCGGCCACTTCCGGTTAGCGGTTTACGAGATATCAGGTTACCACACATTTCATGTGGCACGGCTACAGACCACAATTATCAACCGATTTCAATGAAACTTACAGATTATAATAAGGGTATTAAGAGCTCAAACTAGCCAAAATTTCGGCCACTTCCGGTTAGCGGTTTCCGAGATATCAGGTTACCACACATTTC